ACGCAGGGACGGAGTCAGGGACGGATCCAGGGACGGACCCAGGGACAGACCCAGGGACAGACCCAGGGACAGACCCAGGGACGGATCCAGGGACGGACACAGGGACAGACCCAGGGACAGACCCAGGGACAGACCCAGGGACGGATCCAGGGACGGACACAGGGACACGCAGACACCCGGGCTGTAGGGAAAGGATGCAGGGACACGCAGAGCGTGCATGGCATGGACACAGAGGGTGCAGACAGACAGATGGACGGACGCCCAGTACGGACTCGGTGGCCAAGAGCTTGGCTGTCAGCCGGTTCTTCCTCACGGCCACCATCAACCAGCGCTGGCAGAAGAGGTAAGCACAGGCCACGAGCCCACAGATGGTCCTGTGAGGAGAGGGCAGGTAGGGCACAGGCAGGGCACAGACAGCACCCCAAAAACGCACCCTCCGTACCCCAAAATCAGGAAAAAGAAGGTCTCCAGGAGGTCAAAGGGAAAATCAATCTTGAGGTCGCTCTTGAAAACAGCAGCGATGGTTTCTGGGAGGGAGGGACAGGAATGAGGGTGTGGGTTTGGGGGTGAGAACCCCAAAAATGCCACGGGGGGAAGGGTAAAGGGGAAGAGGGGGCACGTTCTGCCTGCCCTGCCTTGCCTTGATCTCTGTTGAACACGGCCAGGAGCTTGAACATGAAGGCCCCGCAGGTGGCGGCGAAAAAGCCGCGCCAGTAATCCCGCACGGCAAAGTGGGGGGACATCACCTCGATGCTGAAAAGCACCCCTGGAAAAACGGGAAAAGGGATCAGGGCGAGGTTTAGGGGGGCCCAGAGTGGGATTAGGGGGGTCCTCACCGCTGATGGGTGCGCCGAAGACTGAGGCCACCCCTACAGCTTGAGCTGCCACCAGCATCTCGTGCTGCTTGAACTTGTTCTGTAGGGTGAGGAGGATTAAACCCCGGATTTTTTGGGGGTAAAATCAAATCCCTCCATTAATTTTTTTGGCCGTGGCACCCCCACCTCATACTCCCTCGTGACCGTGGTCCTCATCTTCCCCAGATACGCTGCGGCCATGGCGGAGAGGTGGACATAGGGACCCTGGGGGGGACACGGGGCTGAGCATCCCCCCCAGCCCGGCTCCAGCTGAAACCGCCAGGGGTTTGGGGGCTCAGAAGGGGATCCCTCACCACTTTCCCAAGGAAAACGGTGCTGCCGCACGACAGGGTGCAGGTCAGCCCCACCACCTTGGCTCCGAAGTTCTGGATGGCCAGGTAGTCCTCCAGCAGCACGCCCATCAGGATGGTCTTCAGCTCCGGGATGCCGGAGCCTGGGGTGGAGGGGGCAGGATCCAAATTTGAGGGGTCCCTCGTTTTACCGAGGGGGTATTTTAGGGAGCCAGGGAGGTTGGGGTGCAGCTGGCTCACCTCCGGAGTGCGGGGTGATGCTCTGGGAGAAGCCGGTGGAGAAGGTGGCCAGTGCCGTGGGGTACAGGGTCCACGAGAGGTACTTGAGCACCGCGACATCGCCGATCTCTTGGTACAGCCACATGTGGGCTGGAGCAGAGGTGTCGGGAGGGGAGGTGCAGCCCCCGAAAGCCCCCCTCCATATTCTGGGTGAACCCCCCGACGCCGGTGCAGCCCCCCCGGGCTCCCCTCGTTTACCCGCTTGGAGCCTGGCGACGACGATGTCCGTGGTGAAGCTGATGGTGGCCATGAGGACCCCCAGAATGAAGAGGAAGTACCAATCCTCCCCCACGCGGAACAGCTGCCGCTTCACCCACTCCAAGCACCCTGCGAGGGGGGAAAACAGGGCGCTGACCCCCCCCCCC